TATCAGGATACTGTCAGTATCGGCGATTGCTTGGCAAAGTAACAAGATACGAGGCAGATGTGACCAGCAGAGACGACGAGGGTGGGACTTTTGAAGCTCTCGCAGGTAGGTAGTAAGCTAAGAGAAAGTGATAGAGGGAAGGAACAACCTCATCACATAGGAACAAAAGGCTCGAAGGTCACGATACCTGGATCATGTTGATATGACGACACCAAGTCCCACAGAATGGGGCTTCTTTTATCCAGCCAGCAAAATATACCGTGCCTACGTACAAATGAACATGCCAGTGAGTTATAATTGTGGCTCGCTCTCTGCCACGATCATTACCTATAATTTGTTAGGCGCGCATTGCCAATGCCGCCCATTGACCACACCGCATCACAACAGCGTCACATCCCGCGCTATCAGTGGGGAGCTCTGCCCTGGACAGGGATTCTATTACTCTGTAGATATCACAAGACTCTGTTGCAGAAAATCCGTCATCTCCGTCATTTGGGAGCATGATGAAATGTACCGCTACGGTACTTGGAGATGGCAGATCTCCCATGCATGCACCCACTTAGTCAGCGGCGCATCACTTTCAGGGTCCGCGAGGTACCTGTACGGTACTTGCTCCGCTCTCGTTAAACTGCTGCCTGACCTGACTTGCGGCATAAGGGAACTAACTGCGACGAAATGCGACATGCAAATCACAGCAAGCAAGCCAGCAATCTGGAATTGCATATTTCGAAGTCGCAGACAGCAGCAGCAGTTTTCGGGACTTCAATACAGCGGTCTGCTCATATGGCAGCTACGGCAAGGCACCCGTTGGTCTCACCACTCATCAAATTAATATTGCTTCTATTGCATGTACCTACTACCTCACTCGGGAGGCTAGGCGGGATTACGGGTCCACCAGATCATCCACGTGACGCGTCAAAAAATTGAATCAAGCGGGGACTCCACGCTGCTCCGCCAATCACCAGCCTGTTGTTGCTTCCGCAGACCCTGGGCCCAGCCGTACCTGCCATGTAGGGTGTACCTCCATGTACCTCGATAGGCGCACCAAGCAAGCCTCAGCTTCAGCTCCTAACTGCGGCGTCGATACCTGACCGCGACCGTGTTTCCCGCCCGCTGGCCAAGTACCTCCATCGTCGCACGCGGAGCCAAACACCAGGCGCATCCTTCAGAGCCCAAATATCTCTCCGGCTCTGCCTCGCTTCGATCCAAGCTCATTCGCGGCACCCCGATTTCCTCCCTCGCCTCCAGCTCCCGCAATCGCAGGGTCCCTCCCGTACTACCCTTTAAGCTTTCCACCCGTCATCACCGCTCCGACCTTCACCCATTTCGGCGGAGCCTGCCACCTCGAAACCCGTCCGATATCTACGCCGCTTCCTTCGTCCGATTTCCGACGCTCGTTTACCTTGTGCCCATCCCGCGACGAGGCGTCGACCTGCTCCTCTTGGTTTTTGGTTCACGCGCTCCTTTGGGGGTGTTCTAAGAACCCAGAACGGGACGACAAACATTACAACTTCCACCCCGAGCGAACCGCAAGCAAGCAATGGCCGCGACCACCATTGTCCGACCGTCCAGGACCTGAGCCCATCATTCCCGCAGTCTACCATTGCCTGTACTGTGCAGTTACCTGGGCACGACAAGTTTTGTACATGAAAACACATAAACACAATATAAGTCCAGTATCCACACGTCGCGGCGCTACACCTGGGTCGTGGGATAAACTTTGCCCTTAGGGACCTGCTTCGAGGTCTCGGGATAGTTCTCCGATCCGCCCCAAACCCGACACTATCTGGCCAGCAAGACTCGTGATCTCTTTTGGTGGAATACGAGGGGGACAGAACATACTCTTTTCGAGACGCCCAGTACACGCCTAGGAGCAATTAGAAGGACGAGGCAGACGAGCACCGAACGATGTCTGAAGACGACATCGACAACCTTGGGGCGGATGGCCCCGTCAACCCCGTACGCATCGACCGCGACCGCCGAGCACCGCGCTTTAGCTGGACCCCATCCTACGAGACGACCTTCTTCCGAAGCCTGTGCGAGAGCGTCCAGCTCGGCCTGCGCGAGAATAGCAGTTTCAAGGCCGAGGCGTGGGAGCGAGCCGCCCAGGCCCTCCAGGCGACGCACGGCGCCTACCCAGCCAAGAGCCACCTGATCAACAAGAGCGACAATGCACGCAAGAGATTCCGCCTCTGGAGAGGGCTGCGCGAGGATCCCGAGTTTATGTATGACCCGATTATGAGGACGGTAACGGCCACGGAAGACGCGTGGAAGGCACATATTGAGGTACGGCCCAATCTTCTGAGTTTCTGCCAGGTTTCCCTTTCAATTAAGCTTCTCGCTTGTGCTTTCGTTATCCCAGAACGAACATCGAATATAGATCCCATTGACTTACGCAATGCTGTATTTTTAGAAAGAACCCCTTTCTCGAGCCTTGCGAGGCCGGCCGTTCGATCACGAAGATTTCATGGAGATTTTATACCCAGACGTGATAGGCTCGGGCGGTGCGCCGAAAAGAATAATGAAGCCACGGCGACGGACAGACGGAGCACCTGCCGACGACGCAGAGATGCCGGGAACAGGCGTGCTAAACTTGCAAGGAAACGCAAAGTCCCCGGGGGATGGCACGACGTCGAGCGGTGTGCAGCAGCAGAGACCGACACTCAGCCAGACTCCTACAGGATCATCGAACGGATCGATGGGGCAACAGCAGGCGCAGGTGCAAGCCCCCACGGGAGCGGTACCGTTACCGACAGTGGTAACGCCAGCCACATCAAGCGCATTAACACCTCCAGACGAGACATTGACTGGCCAGGTTCAGCTGGGACGGAAGAGGAGACAGCCCGATTCAACCGGATCACCGCCATTGGCTGGGGCAGCGCTAACATTGGGAGGATCAGCTGCGGCAACATCCAGCAGTGCAACACCGGCGGAGAAGCGACGGCGAACAAGCGGACAAGATCTTCTTGCGCCATCCGCAGCTGTGCCTTCCGTACCGCCCACATTAGCGGGTAACCATACACAGCAGACCGCTTCAAGTGCCCAACTACCCTTGATAGAGGAACTCTTGGAGGCTCTCAGGACACGGGCGGCCCCGCGATGGCGGGAGCAGGCGCTGGACATCTTCTTCCAGGAGTTCTCCGAGGAAGAGCTCGACCTGCAGGTTAAGATTTCTGAGAACGTGCTCAGCATCGAGAACAAAGCCATGGTATTTTGCAAGATGCCGAGAAACGTTCGGCAGCACTGGGTTGGCAAGTTTCGCGAGATGCACCAGCTGAATAAGACATCATAGTGGCGAGCGGGGAGGTCGTACCAGGAGCATATTTCACGCGCGCGAGTTTTTGACGAAGCCTTTATTTTTTATCCTCTGGTCCTTTTTTTTTCCTTTTCGGCGTCTCCCTTTTCAACTGGGCACACAATTTTGTACCACTATATATTCCATCGCGTGCGGTTTAAGCCATCATAACGGGCGGCATAGGGATCTTGAGGGGAGTATGTTGCATTTACGGCCTGTGTGCCAGGCGATTGGGGGTATTATTTTCAATGGATGGGAACCCAAGCAAAATGAGAAAGAGTAGCGGGAGAAAAAAACCAGATGAGGAGGAGAGATTGAACTTTTTGATACCCATGGACAGGGGAAGGGCGTTTTATCAGGAAAGTGCTTTTGGAAACAGGGGGAGTCATTAGGACATATTGTGAAGCACAAAGCTTGGTGTCAGTATGGGTTTGGTTATTGTTAATTATAATGGATGTTTATAGAAACTGAACCACAAAGGATGGAGAAACCAAGGAAGAAGAACATCTTTCGGAAGGTTCCATCCAAACTAGGACCTTGATTTTCACTGTGTGAGATGCATCTCGTGTCATCATGATCTGCCACCAGGGTTCAGTCACCGTAGCCGTTGCTACCCCTAATAAACTGAAATGACGCAACTGCTCCCTGGATGATCCCAGATTCGAACCATCTCAGGAACAGGGTCGATGGCTCGCAAAAACAATTGCCCTAGCCAGAATTTTCCATCTTCATCTGCTGCCCAAACCGCCCTGGCCTCAATGCATACGCGGGGCCCGCCAGCATGGCAAAGACCAACGCAAGGGTCAATCTCCAACCGACCATCTCTAGACTCCCATCGCCGCTACGCAATTTCCCGACGCACACTCACCGATATCTCGTAGGGTGGTTCTTTTCTGTGCCTGAGCCTGTTATTTTCCCCTCCAGTTGGTGCGTGTCATTGCCTGACTCGGACCCGATTCGATTGGCAATTGCTGATCGCGGCAGTGGACAGCAGAGGGGGAGGTCCACTAACTAGGCTCGAACCCCACCTAACGGCATATTTGCACATGACAGCGAAGTGAAGAAGTGACAGTGATCCCATGGCATCACTCCATTCGTGCATAAGGGGGCATACTAAATGGGCGATTGGGTTGCACACGAGCAAACATCGGGAGGCACACACGAGAATGGGCTCTGGCAGACAAGTACCTTGGGTAGCAGAACCAGAGAAAGCAGCGACAGACTCGACATAGGGTAGCCTCGGAACGCATCGCGATGGAGAAGCAGAAAAGCCGCTATTGGTGGTTGGGCACAGGTGCAGGTGGGGTTTGGCTACGTCATTGATACCAACTTTGGGAGCGCAACGGCAAGAGCACAAGCGGGAAGAGGGAAAGGGCAGAGGAGTAGCAGCTCGGTCGGCAGGTACAGCGACTTGTAGCGTGCTCGACTCGTCTGGCCTCTCCTACAGCCTCCGTGCGAATCAGCCGCTCTTCCGTCATCACACGATCTAGCCCTGTCTGCTATCTGGGCATATATCTGCCGCAAGTACTGGTTCTTGGTTTCTCAACACGCACATCTACCCTCCATCCCTCCAATTCCAATCCCTTCCGCACCCTCTCCTCCAAATTTTCACATCTCACTTTGGCACTCAGCCCAACACATCTACAACCAGTAAGATATTCTACCAGTGCCTGTTTTTCGATTGCTCTGCTAATACCATCCAGTGTCTTACGCCGACGTTGCTGCTTCTGGTCCCAAGCAGAGCCCTGAAGAGGTATGTACCAATACCATGAAATCCCATTCTCACTTCTCCATCTTTACGATGTTATCCATCACATCGCCGCCCTACCTTACCACATAACCCATCAGCCTACAGTTATGATCTAACCGCTCTGCCAGGCTGCTGCCCCTCAACCCCCCCAGGTCATCACCGACGAGTCCGCCTCCACAGCGTCCCTCATCGACGTCGACCTCCCCAGCGTCCACACCGTCCCCGCCGACTTCCTCGAGCAGGAGATCCAGACGGAGACCCAGGCCGCCCGCCTCGAGCGCGAGGAGGAGGCCGCCGCCGCCAAGGCCTCGTCCAAGAAGGCCAAGGCCAGGAAGCAGGTGAAGTCGGCCGACAGCTGGCTGCAGGCCCAGTTCGCCCGCCTCTCCGACACCGAGGCCGGGGCCGTCGCCGCCGTCAACCTCGCCACCGTCGTGGGCATCAGCGCCTTCCTCGGGTACAAGGCCTGGGGCCTGTACCAGCGCGGCAGCCTGTCGTGGAAGGACATCGGGATCGGCGCTGGCGTCGTAGCGGGCGTGGGTGCCGTCGAGAGCGTTGTCGGGCGGTATCTGTACAAGACCAAGAAGGACGGATCTTCGTAAAAGAAGAGAAATCCTTTTTATCCTTTCCCACATTTTTCACCTCTCTAAGATGGATTGGAGACCGACTGGAGATTTTCTAGTTGGCGTGGTCCTTCTCTCACTTCTCCATTATTCGTTCATGGCGTCCACGGCGATTTAACCGGCGAGAAACATTCGGAGGATACTTTGTCTTTTCCCTGTGTATTGCTTGATACCGATTTGTGTAGTATGATAGTTGCGATAATGTTAAATACTCGCCTATTTTTTCCCCCATCACTTATCTTGGAACCAAGCCACGACTTGATGTGACATGTTAAAAAAAGGCAGAATTCAAGTCCATAAACCACAGTCATAGAAGAGTTGTGAGTCGTCTATTTCTTTCTATACCTCTCTGCGCCATTGTAATTATGCAGTATCATCAGTGTACAGGGTTTTAGTACAAGCGCTCCCCGCCATCCGTATGGAGGGAGCCCGCGTATAATGTACATTTTTAGTTTGTGAAAATTTCTTAAACATCGTCACGATTGCCTTTTTCTTCGTGGGTTCCCGATAACTCTTCCGCCATCTGTCAAACCGATACTCCTTCAAATATCATTTTTTGTGTTTATTGCTTGTCGCCCTCTGTGTTGGCTCCACGGGCGTCTTCCCATGCAGGCGCGGGAGGCTCGACTACGCGGGGTGAAGCTGCGGGGGCCTCCTTCTTGGTTTCTACCTTTGGCTCCTCCTTGGCCTCTGGCTTGACTTCCTCCTTGGGGGTGGGGGCAGCTTCGGCGGCTGGGGTCTGTGTTGAGGTCTCGACGGGAGTTTCCTTGGTCTCGGTCTTAGCGGCGGGTGCGCCCTCGGTGTTGAGAGGGGCATCTGCGGGAACGGCGGCGTTGTCGTCGCCGTCGTCGTCGCCATCATCGGTTAGCTCTGCGCCGTAGATCTCGGGGTACTGCTTGAAGCAAGTTTGCATGCCCCTACAGAAAGAAAAAAGTTAGCTGATGAATCACGAACAAAAGTCCCGACTCGAGATATGTTGGTGGGGGATCGCGTACTGGAACTTGTCAATGCAGTCCATGCCCTTGGGGTCCGTCTCGGAGAAGACGAAGCAGCTGAACGCCGTCTTGAACTCCTCCCCGCAGGGTCCGTGGGCCATGCCGCCCAGGCAGGGGCAGTCCCAGTTGATCTCGCCAGTCTCCGGGTTGAACGCCGCCTGCTGCCCGGCTCCCTCCCCTTCCACGGGAGCGTCGCCCTCGGCGCCTACTGGTGCGGCATCGGGACCGGGTTCCTGGCTGGATGTGGGCACGGGAGCTTCCTTCTCGATCTTGGCCTGGATCTGCCTGCGCTTCTCCTCGAGGACGGAATCGACGGTGGGAAGATCGGACTCGGCGAATTGAGGAGGTTCGGGGATCGTCTTGGCTTCAGCTATACAGCAGCTCCAATTAGCGTGATGGTCTTGGGACGCGACACCGACATGGTCAGTTTTTCCCGGGGATACGTACTGGCTATGTCGTCGGCGAAGAGCGTGCTGGTGGAGTAGTAGTAGATGGCACCGCCGGCCAGACCCCATCGGAGGGCTGCGCTCTTCCAACTCCTGGGCTTGTCTGCGGGCTTTGACGTTGAGGCGAATCGCTTGGTGGCTGTCTGTCCCTGGAGGCGCATGCAGCGCAGGGTTGGCCTCGAGGCCGTTCGCAGAGCTGTGCGATACATTGTGCTTCTTTTCTGGTTTATTTGTTGTGCAATATTACGTTCTCCAAACAAAAGGGAGGTAATTGGGTGAAGCCAAGTAAGGAAGGACAGGTGGGAGAAGTGAATGAGGGCGGATTAGTGACGCTGATCGCAGGCTTCGCGGACGGGACAGAAAAGTTGCCGGTATTGACCTGAGGGTTTTCACGGGCTGGTTGGTAAGCACCAATACCGACATCATCAGATTGGCAGCTAATTCCAGAGTTTATCCGAAGAGTGCTAGGCACAAAAATTTCAAAAAACAAAGAACTCCCCCAGACAGGATCGAACTGTCGATCTCCCGATTGCGTATGCTACTAACAGTCGGACGCCTTAGCCAGCTGGGCCATGGGGGATGATTTCTTGTTGGAAAGGTCAGTCTTGATGCCACTTATGTAACAAGGGTCCACTATGCCTGTGAGGATCTGTTCTGCCATGCCACTCTATACTTGGGAGAGTTGAGATCTCTTGTGCCGTGTTTCGGTGGCTAGTACATGCAACACCTGACAGAGGATCACGGAGGCAAACATTGGTAGCACGCAGACGTGTGGCCAGTCAGCTGGAACTCGTTTAGAAGCGGGGTTTGGGTTTGTTGAAAGAATCTTTCGAAAACATCTCAATCCTGGAAATAATCTGAACGTGCAGCTATAGGGCTACTGCTTGCATCGGCTGCTCCCTCTAAATCATAGACTCTCTGTACCGGCGGCTACGAGGGGCATCGAGACTCTGGACGGTGCGCCGCAGCTCAGCTGCACTTAGCCTTTCTGTCCACCCATTTTTTTCTATTCTTCTTGCCCGCTTGACCTAGCCTCCCCCTCTTCCTCCTTTGTGCTGACGCAGTGCGGCGTCTATCTTGCCTCTTGCCGATCCCACTGTACTGACGTCAAAATGGCCTCTGATGCGACTCCGACCGCGATAGAGTGGTATCCGGCCAAGCTGCTGCAAAGCCGCGAGACTGCACCCGCGTTTGCGCTCGTCGTCCTCAACCAGCCCTTGCGCAATGGCGCCAATCTACGCAGACTCTGGAGAAATTGTACGAGAGAATCCTATCCCAGTAGCTAATTTTTACAGCAATACCCCGGCCCCAGAGAAGCTCAAGACTGACGTGTGGGTTGGATTTTACACAGCTTCAATTCGGGTCGCAGCAGATGGAGGTGCAAATCGCCTGAAGGACCTCTCCTCTTTCGAGGGCAAATTCGTGAGTGATCCCTAAAATGTGTTTTTTTCTCTACTTGTCATACCAGAGAGCTTGTCCTGCCTGCATACCTTGCGCCATCCCAATATGTAAAAAGCATTACAGCTGACCATTGCCCACTGAATCCCAGTCCAACCTCCAGGTCATCATCGGAGACCTCGATTCCCTCCACCCCGCCGTCCGCGACTTCTACACCTCCCAGCCGACGCCCGCCCAAATCATCCACGACTCGTCCCAGTACTCGACCGACTTCGGCAAGGCCATCAAGCACGTGCGCGACAAGTACCCGACCGGCATCGACATCGTCGCCCTCGGCGGCATCGGCGGCCGCGTCGACCAGGGCCTCAGCCAGCTCCACCACCTGTACCTGTTCCAGCAGGACCGCACCTACGGCGACGGGCGCATCTTCCTGCTCTCGGGGTCGAGCCTGACGTTCCTCCTTAAGGCGGGGTCGCATCGGATCCAGGTCCGCGAGGACGGCGAGGAGGCCGTCTTCGGCAAGCACGTCGGCATCATCCCGCTCAAGGAGCCGAGCCGGATCTCGACCAAGGGGCTCGAGTGGGACGTGACGGACTGGGAGACGCAGATGGGGGGCAACCTGAGCACGAGCAACCATGTGCTCCCGGACACGCGGTGGGTGCAGGTGGAGACGGACAAAGACGTCTTGTTCACGATAGCGCTGAAGCATATTGACGGCGAGAACGAGGGGTGGAGGGAGTAGGTGTGCAGTGGGAGCAGAGCGAGCTGGTCCCCGTTGCACGTACAAGGGAGTAACGATGAGGGTATTTATCAACCAAGATAGGAAAATAATGAATAAAAAAAGGTTCAAAAGAAGAATGACGCTTGTGGTATAAAAGTTGCGAGAAATAGTCATGTCCGAGCTCTGGCCCTCTGTAGGGAGTCTCCTTCCCTCATCTTGACGCCATGCTATCAAATCAAAAGCTCCATGCCGCGGCCGTGGGTGTGCCCTTTTGCTGTTCCTGTTCCATCGTGTCGGTCGTGTTCGCTTCGATCATCGTAGGAAGTGGAGGACCAGCCAGCAGAAGAGGAAGAAGATGATGACACCACCGAGGAAGATCCACTTGTCCTCCCTCGCTCTCCTCTCGACCATGCGGATGGTGTCGCCGCTCACACCGAGAGTGTTGGCTACGCTGTAGAGTCGCTTCTGGGTTCCCTTGAGCACCTCACGCTGGTGGCCCAGGTCGCCGAGGACGGCCTGTCCACGAGCAATGTAGTCGTCGAGGGCTGAATTGGTGGTGGCAAAGAAGTTCTGCTCACGGAGAGCGTGGGATTCGCGGGTCACATCACCAGCGCCTGTGGAGAGATACTGTTGCTGGCCCGGCGAGCGTGGGGTTTGTGGCTGGTGTGCGTATGGGTTCTCGGGGGTGGAGGAGGCCTGGTAGGGCCGGCGGTTGCCCAGGAGCTCGGATCGGTTGGCCTGATGCAGGGCGTCATCACGGGTCTTTTTGAGGACATCGATGTCGGAGCGGAAGGACGAGAGGTCTTCGCGGAACTTGCGGACGCGCTCGATGGCTTCTTCTTGCTTCTTGGGGACAATCTCCTGGCGGGCCAGCGCGTTGTACTCGTCGATGGACTTGGTAAAGGTGGCGAGGGAGGCGGAGACGTTTCCAATTTCGGCAGGAGAGGGCGTCTGCTTCGAGGAGAGGTTCGTGAGCTCGGCGCGGATGGCCTTGCTTTGGCGCAGGGCCGTGTTGTAGGCGACGTTCTACAGGCGAGGTGGCATCATTAGCATTCTGGCAGATGGGAACAAAGCCAGCCCAGGGGAGCGCCGTCGGGCATGCCATTGCATTGGGGGTAACCTGAGTGCAACTGCTTACCATGGCTTTCTAGAGAATAGTGAGGGACGTAGGAGAGAAGCAACGGCGAAATGGGACAGCGGCAGAAATCAATCCTTCTTAACAAAAGTCCTTCACATGTTTCTGCAACGTGGATGTTGACGGGATGGTGGACTTATTGCCTGCCGCTAAACGTGGCCCACTCATAATGCCTGTAAGTGCCAGGCCCCCACCACTGCAATTAACTACCCTACACCTCTCATCTCATCCTGGTTCTGGGAAGCCAAATGTGCTTTTTATTTTATTGCTTCCGATCTAATTTT